CAAACCTTTTGGGTGGTGCCTCCCATTAATCACACCCAGAATTATGCTAAACCCATCATTGGACTAATTTAGCAGTCACACACCCTTAATCCATATACACACACTAGCTCCAGCTACTTCCCAAAAGCCCCACCTTTGAGCACAAGAGAATTTAGCTGCATATCAGGATACAAGCCATAACATTCCACCCTGGGCCCCAAAAGACTCATGCACATTCATTTATGAATAATAAATGAAGTCCATCTCTAAGAGTTGCCAAAGTCCGAACAGTTTCAGCATTGCTGAAAAGTCTATGATCAAAGTCTCCTCTGAGATTTAAGGCAAACTCTTAGCTTTGAGGCCCTGCAAAAATTGAAAAAAAGTTAACCTCTTACAACATACGATGACACATGATAAACATCCCCGTTCCAAAAGGCAGAAACAGGAGGATAAACAGGAATGAGACCAAGGCAAGACAAAAATCCAGCAAGGTGAACATTAAGTGCAGTAATTCCATGTCCAGAATTCAGGGCAATCTATGGCAAGATGTGATCTCCAAAGGGCTTTGGTGCCTTTCCCTCTAAAGCACTGCTAGTGCTTGTAGCTCTCATGGCTTCTCTCTTGAGCCTGCTTTACTTACTCCATGCAGTTTTCCTCAGACAATTCATGTTCCTGGCTTCTTTAAACTTCTGGGGTCTCCAATGAACCTTTGGCTTAACACTCAGAGCTTCACAGACTACCTTCTCAGAGGCAAACAGCCTGGTCTCCCCGACCTTCTTCTGAAGTCTGAATGAAAGCCTTCCTGACCCCACAACTCTTGGATTCTGCATATGCCTAAATCAGCCTCACATGAATTATGTAGCTACTGTAGACAGCTAATTTAGTTTGAAATATAGGTAGTCAGAAAGGGCTGGGCCTCAAAGAAGTCAATGCAGAAACCATGAACACATCACAACTGTGGCTGGAGGAACATGTTTTGAAGGCCAGGCTTTGAGACAAAGAGAACTGACTACACCCATATATTTCCCCTAGAAATGAACAGCAGTGATTGATATTCTAAGTAGGCATCAATCACCTGGATGGGGGACCAAAACCTTAACCTATTTTTGCTAGGCAAGTTCCCTGACCCATCCCTTCCAGGAAAAGTCCCTGTTAGTTTCATATATGCTGGCCACATGACTTGCTTCCCCATTTGATCCTCACTTAATCAATATCACCTAAGTGTCTATACTAGTAATCTTACTGGTTGACCATGGTTTTGGCCCATCTCAAAAATCACCTTGTGGTTTTCCATTGGATCAATATTACTTAAGTGACTATATTTGTAATCTTATTACTTGATTATAGCTTTGTCCCACCTTACACCTGCCTCATCTCATAAATTTACTCTAGAAAACTCCCTTGAGAAGTGGCATCCTTGGGTAATCCACTTTCTTGGTCCCCTTGTGTCTCTCTTAGACAGAAGCTATCTTTCCCTCAGTAAATATTTCCTATTCTTAACCTCCATAGTTCCTAGATTTCATTCTCTGAATTTAGAGAACACAAACTCAGTATATCAGACATCTAGTAGGATGGGAGTTATAATATTTCCCTCATATTATTTGGAGATCAATATATCATCCAATATATGCCTTACATCAATATCAAGATCTGCTGCCAGCTGGAGCAGGAGTCAGGCTTTCTTCTCTCTTGGCTATAGGGATTGAATACCTGGATTGCTGAGAAGTAGGATAACAAATCCTGAAGAAAACTTTCCCTTGGCTGCCACCATTTTGGAACATGGTGCTCTGGGGCTTCTTCTCAAAAGTCTAAACACCCCAATTACAATCAGTGAAATTGAAAATATAATTAAAACTTTACCAACAAAAGAAAAGCCCAGGCCATGATGGTTTCACCGCTGAATTCTACTAGACATTTAGAGAGATGTATTGCCACTACTCTTTAAACTCTTCAATGAAAATGAAAGGGAAGCAATCCTTCCAAATTTAATCCTGGAAGCAAGTGTTACTTTGATTGCAAAACCAGGGAAAAACACAACCAAAGAAGAGAACTACAGGCCAATCTCCCTAATGAACATGGATGCAAGAATCCTCAACAAGATATTGGCAAACAGAATACAGAGGGTCATCGAGAAGATCATACACCCTGACCAAGTCAGATTTACCCCAGGGATGCAAGGATGCTTCAACAAATGTAAATCAATAAATGTAATACACTATATTAATAGCACCAAGGACAAAAACCATATGATCATCTCAATAGATGCGGAAAAAGCATTTGACAAAACTGAATACCCATTCATGATAAAAATCCTACAGAAAATTATAATAGGTGGTCTTTATCTCAAGCTAATAAAGGCTATCTATGAAAAACCAGCACCCAACATCATACTAACTGGTCAAACACTGAAAACCTTCATGCTAAAATCAGGAACAAGATAAGGATGTCCACTATCATGACCCCTGTTCAATATAGTTCTGAAAACATTAGCCACAGCTATTAAACAAGACAAGGAAATAAAAGGAATAATGATGGGAAAGGAAGAAGTTAAACTGTCATTATTTGCTGATGATATGATACTCTAATTTGAAGACCCAAAATATTCTGCCAAAATACTTCAAGACTTAATAGACAGATTCAGTAGAATAGCTGGATACAAGATAAATACTCAAAAATCAATAGCCTTCTTGTACACAAATAACAGAGTCACTAAGAGAGAAATTAAGGAAACAATTCCTTTCACAATAGCATCCAAAAAATGAAATATCTAGGAATCAATCTAACAAAGGAGACAAAAGACCTCTACACTGAAAACTACAGCACTTTGAAAAATGAGATCGAAGAGGATATAAGAAAATGAAAAGAGGGCTGGGGACTTAGCTCAGTGATTCTGCTGCCAGCCTTGCAAGTGCAAGGTCCTGAGTTTGATCGCTGGTACCAGAAGAAAAAAAGAAAATGGAAAGACATCCTTTGCTCCTGGGTAGGAAGAACCAACATAGTGAAAATGGCCATACTTCCAAAACTGCTATACAGATTCAATGCAATTCCAACAGTATATTTGAAATCCCAACAGTATATTTCACAGAACTAAAGAAAACAATCCAAAAATTCATTTGGAACAAGAAGAGACCCAGAACAGCAAAAGCAATTCTAGGTAACAGAGACATGGCAGGGAGTATCACAA